GATTTAATAAAAAAATTAAGAGGAAAAAAAGAATTGTTTTTTTTCTTGCCACTTTTCTTATAGTCTGAGTCTCCCTAGGTCCATTAATAATTTGGGGGAAAATTTTATATTTTATTAAAAAGACATTATTGTAGAAATACTCAAACATATACAGAAGTTGAGAGAATGGTCTAATAAACTCCCAAGTACCCATTACTCTACTTTAATAGTCAGTTGACATATTTGCTGATCTTCTTTCATTTATGCTTTTAACCCTTTTTTGTTAGGAGTATTTTTAAGCAAGCTTTAGATATCATATATTTTCATTTATACAGGTTGAGTATCCCTTATCTGAAAAGATTGGGACGAGAAGTATTTTGGATTTCTGATTTTTTTTTTATTTTGGAATATTGGCATTATACCTGGTGGCTATAAAGTTCATGTACAATTTAAAATAACTCTCTATTTTAAATTGCACAGAAACTTTATGGCCACCATGTACTTAACCAGTTGAGTAACAGTAGACTAAAAATGCTCCAGTGAGCATTTCCCTTGAGTATCATGGAAAATATTTTAGATTTTGAAGCATTTGAGGTTTCTGATTTTTGGATTAGGGATACTGAACTTGTAATATTTTTTTTTGAAGACAAGTTCTCACTCTGTTGTGTGGGCTACAGTGCTGTGGTGTCATAACTCACTGCAGCCTCAGGCATCTGGGCTTAGTCTATTCTCTTGCTCCAGTCTTCCAAGTAACTGGCACTACAGGCATGTGCCACTATGCCCAGCTAATTTTTGTATTTTTTTGTAGAGACAGGGTTGTGCTGTGTTACCTAGGCTGTTCTTGAACTCCTGGGCTCAGGTAATCCTCCTGGTTCAGCCTCCCAAAGTGCTGCAGATGTCAGCCACTATGCCTGGCCCTATAATTCTTTTTTATACATCATATAACTGATAAGGAAATGTCTTTAACATAACCATCATATCTTACAAAATTTATCAGTTTAGTTTTTTTGAGACAGAGTCTAACTAACTTTGTCTCCCTGGGTGGAGTGCCATGGCGTCATAGGTCACAGCAACGTCAAACTCTTGGGCTCAAGCAATTCTCTTGCCTCAGCCTCCCAAGTAGCTGGGACTATAGGCGTCTGTCACAATGCCTGGCTGTTTATAGAGATGGGGTCTCACTCTTGCTCAGGCTGGTCTGAACTCATGAGCTCAAGCAGTGCATCCACTTTGGTCTCCCAGAGTGCTAGTATTACAGGCGTGAGCCACCGTGCCCAGCTAATTTATCAGTTTTGTTAGAATCATCTAATGTCCAGTCTATATTCAGATGTTCTTTTTATTTTTTTTGGAGACAGAGCCTCAAGCTGTCCCCCTGGGTAGAGTGCTGTGGTATCACAGCTCACAGCAACCTCCATCTCCTGGGCTTAAGCGAGTCTCCTGCCTCAGCCTCCCAAGTAGCTGGGACCATAGGCACCAGCCACAATGCCTGGCTATTTTTTGGTTTCAGCCGTCATTGTTGTTTGGCGGCCCGGGCTGGATTTGAACCCACCACCTTAAGTGTATGTGGCTGGCGCCTTAGTCACTTGAGCCACAGGTGCCGAGCCAGATGTTCTTAATTATCTCAGATATTTGTAGTTGGTTTGTTTGACTAATGAAGTCTATGCATTTTACATTTGGTTATCAGTTATCTTTAATTCTATAATAGTCCCCTCTTCCTTATTATTTTCAATCTGTTGATTTGTTGAAAAGACAGACATTTAAGCTGTGAATCATCCTATTCTTTAGGTTTTTTCACACTTTATTTATTTTTTGTATATATACATTTGTGTGTATATATGTATACATGTGTATGTGTGTATATAACGAATAGTCATTTTTACCTTAGGTGATGTCCAGTCTTTACAAGTGAAGTAATCAGTCTCTTGCTATTCCTTTGACCCTCATCACTGTTGTTTTGTACTTCCATTTCACAAGTCCTAGCTTGGGGTCTCACAGGGTAGACAGCGTACTGTTCACTGAATTAAGAATAAAATGATCTAAGGTGATTTTTCTATGTAAGTGGGATTTAGATACATGGAAATGTTTATGGAAGGCAAGCTGTTACTTTCTCATTAGTTTGGATCTTTTTTCTCTCACAGGGAGGTGAAAGATGCATGTGTTTATTTTCTTACTTCCTTCCACTAGAAAATAAGCTCCCAAAGGGTAGGGATCTTGTTTTGCCCACTGCTGTTTCTCAAAGACATAGGACAGTGCTTGGAACAGAGTAGGTACCCAGCCAATGTGTTGAATCAGGTAGTCCAATAGAAAAATAATGCCTTAAAGCAGATGTCTTAGCAACTAGGCAGAGTGAGACTTTAGGAATATATTTTTCTTTCAGTATATATTTGTTTGATGTACAATTTGATCCCCATTCTAGGATAGCAAAGTTCTGAGTGGGCTCAGGGATCCCACAATTAGCTATCTTGACTCTTTTAATTTTGTGAGGGGGGATGTATTGTAGACCTATTTGAAACCCTTGGTTTTTAAATTAAGAATAGGTTTTCTAAGTTCTTTGTGGTCTGGAGTTGTAACTTTAAAGGATTTCTTATAAATGGATTGACCTTTTCGAGTTGGTGTAACAGAGCGCAAAGTTAGGCAGTACTTTTGTCATGTTGGGACTTTTCTGTCTTCCTCTTTGATACAAAATCTCATGGTTTATGTAATATCACTTCCCTAGCCCATTGTTTGTTCTTTTAGTGATGATTCTTGTTTTCCTTCCTAGAGCTAAAGTTGCAGACAAGATCCAGTTGATCAATAATATGCTGGACAAAGTCAATGAAATGATTATTGGTGGTGGAATGGCTTTTACCTTTCTTAAAGTGCTCAACAACATGGAGGTAAGAAACCAATGCCAAGATCATGTTAATAGCTCTCTGAGATGATAATAGGTTGTTTAAATTTAAAAAGAAAACCAGCTTCTGATATTATGAGCCCTAAAAACTCCCATTTTTATTTATTTTGGCAAGTTGCTTGTCTTTGCATTATTTCTTTATATTGTGCTTTGTCTGGTTCCTATCTGCTTTGTGAGGCAGTTTTGTTCTTAGTATAGAGGCTGATCTTTATCATTTTGGATCTCCTGTATAGATTGGCACTTCTCTGTTTGATGAAGAAGGAGCCAAAATTGTCAAAGACCTAATGTCCAAAGCTGAGAAAAATGGTGTGAAAATCACCTTGCCT